AATTTTTTTTTCCTATGTTTGTCCCTCTGCCCTGTCTCACTCTCCCATTACAATATCCCTGCTATATACAGTTGTCTTCCAGAAGAGTTACTGAAAAAGTGATACATACAAGTAAAGGGAGAGAGGCCACGAGTTCCAACCATCAGCTCATAAAGTTTTTGGCAATAGGGAGCATAAACTCCACTCAGGGTTGGATTAAGGGAGGGTCTCCTGCAGATCCACAAGTGTAGGTGAGTCTCCAGGGAATGCAGTTTCAGGAAAGCAGTTCTGGTACGGAGGGATGATTATCAGCTGATGCGGCACAGCAGTCATCTTGTAGTTACCAGGAGTGGTGTTGTGGGGATCTGCAGTGTGAGTTGTCCTTGGGTATCTGGCTTCCTTAAGAATGGCAGAGTAGTTCTTGTTTTCCCCTGAGGCAATGCAGGGCTGGTAACTATCATCTTCTTAAGTTGCAAGTTCTTCAACCTTGTTTTCGGCCTCCGGGCCATCCGGGGCCAGAGAGGCAGGGAGAGGCGCTTGGCTGCGCTGGGGGGCGTGAGCCCCCCCAGTGGGGGGGGGCGCCGGCCAGGCCGTTCCCGGCGCGCGGCTGTGCTCCAGATACTGGTTTGACAGTAGAAACATCACAGCTTCCTGCAGCTGCTGGCTGGGGCTTTGGCTTAGAGAGTGCATTTCAGGATTGTCTGTTTTGGAGTCTTTTGTCCATTCTCACTTTCTGTACAGCACAAAAAAGGATCTACTTAGAACATGAGCTGAAAACACATAGTATTTTATAACTTCCTTTTTATACTCTTGAAGCAAATGACCCCTACTTCCCTATCACTCTGCCTTCACAAATCAATTTTAATACTAGCTAGGAAATGTTCTGGGAACTGCTTGGAATTGAGTTAAAAACTCGAAGTTTGAGTCCTGACTTTGCCAGAAAGAAAGTCTTTTACATTTAAGGAGCTTCTTTAAAATAGACACACTTGGGAACCAGCAGTTAGCGTAATGGCTATGTTGCTGGACTCCCACATAGTCGACCGTGGTTCGCGTCCCGGACCTGGTGGCTTAAAACTCACACCAGGTGCGTGTGGTGTGCGTGCGTGCGTGCCCAAGATCCTGAGAGGAGAATGGAGGAGAAGGGATTGCAGCGTGACCATCCCCCCTGGGGGATGATTTCTCGCTTTCTGTCTCTATGTCTCTCTCTGTCTGTCTGGCGAGCGCACGCGCCCTATAGCGAAAATCTCTCCAAAAAAAGAGACACACTTGTTTATATTTATTTAGTTTGACTTGTTCCAGAAAGGATTTGAAGTGGTTAAATAGGGCTATCATGATACTTCCTATTCTCAGTATTCTAAGGGTCAAATTAAAGAATGAGACAGTGGGGGACAGCAGGTGGCATGGTGGTTAAGAGCATTGGACTCCCATATGGCTGACTGTGGTTTGAGTCCCGGACCTGGCGGCTTGCTTTCTTACCCCTCCAACCTGCTCTCGCTCTGTCCCTGATCAAGTTTAAAAAAATAAATAAAGTTAAACAATTCTTTAAAAAAAAAGAAAGAGACAATAAACTGTGAAATTTGGAATATTAAAAGCCCCATCTATGAAAATATAAAGAATTAAAAAAAAGAAAAAAAATTGTACCACCAAAGACAAGAATTGCTAGCATTTTCTTTCTAGTGTGTTTCCTTTTTTCTTTCTCTTTTTTCGTTTGAAGACAAATACTTCTTTGAATGGCAATTTTGGGTTGTTCTATGGCTTGGTGATTAAGGAGACCAGATCCCACATGCCTGACAGCAGTTTGAATCCCAAACCCAGCTGTTTGAAACACGTCAGGCATGTGTGTGTGGGTGTGTATGTGTGGGTACTCTAAATCCTGGGAGGATGGGGAAATGGAGGAGAAGGGATTGCAGTATGTCAGTGCCCCCGTTGGGGGATGCATTTTTTTTTTTCTTTTTCTTCTTGTCTCTCTCTGGTAAGCACACCTACACCCTCAGGCAATTTTTTTAAAAAAGAACAATTTTGACATCAACTCTTAGCAACAGCTAGACAACCTTTAGACTTTTACTAAACAGGGGCGTCAGGAAAGTCTTTCAGAGGTCATATCTTTTTTTTTTAGAGAGAGTATTTTTGCTATAGGGTGCATGCTCTCGCTGGAGAGACGAGAGACAGAAAATGAGAAATCATCCCCCAAGGGGGTTGGCAATGCTACAATCCCTTCTCCATTTTCTTCTTAGTATTTTGGGCACTCATGCAAACGGGCCTGGCATGAGTTTTAAGCCATTGGGTCCAGGACTCGAACTGCGGTCGACTATGTGGGGTCCAATGACATAACCATTACACCATCTGCTGGTCCCCAGAGTTCATGTCTCTTTAAGACTTAAAAAAAAGTTTATTTTCAGAATTACTTACTTTATTTATTACTCTATTTTACCAGAGAGAGAGAGAGAGAGAGAACTGAGGAGGGAGAGAAGGAAAGGGGGGAGGGAAAGTGAGAAAACAAGCCGCTGGGTCCGGGACTTAGATCTCTGTCAGCCTTGTGGGAGTCCAGTGCCTTAACTACCATGCCGCCTACCAGCCCCAGCCATGCAATCGGAGCAGGCTATTAGCCCCACTGGGCAAGATCTTAGAAGTGTCTTCATTTCTCTGGTTAAGATCTCCATTCTCTGTTTCTCCCCATCCCTGTCTGTCTGCAGTAGTACAGAATATGTGTATATCTGTTCTTTATGCACTTCTCTCAAGTAGGAATCCCTGAGATTCTGTGTTTGACTCCTATACCTAAATGTCAACTCTGTTCTGGTATCTTTAAGTCAGTATTACTCTTTTTTGAAAGACAGTCAGGAAACTGGGTGGAAAGACTTGTCATTGTGCAAATTAAATGTGACAAAATGCCTGGTTGGGAAACCTATAATGAACAGTACTTTCTTTTAAAATAGGTTAAAGGAAGATGGAAGTGGAAGTGCTTATGACAAAGAATCTATGGCAATTATCAAGCTGAATAATACAACTGTCCTCTATTTAAAGGAGGTGACTAAGTTTTTGGCACTGGTCTGCATTCTAAGGGAAGAAAGCTTTGAACGAAAAGGTAATGACATTTTAGGGTGCTGTTTTTATGTTAAGTTTTTGGTCATAATGTCTCAGGTTCTTGAAAGCAAGAGAAAATAATATTGTTGTATTAGACAAATGGTTATCTTAAAAAATCAACTCAACTACTTTTGTCCCTTCCTTCCCATGTGTAGTCCAGATCTTCCTCCTTTTGATCTGTAATTTTAAGCCTTTTTTTTCTTTAATTGCAGCATGTCTTACTTTGGATCCTTGCATTATCTGTTTAACTGCCTGCAGTTTGACTTCCTGCCAAATCAGTCTTTGACACTGTTCCTTGAGAAGTTACCGGGTTGTCTCCTTACGTCCTCAGTGGCCTTATGGCAGCTGCCTGAAGCATGGGGACCTGTTAGTCCCTCCTCTCTGGAACCTTCTCGCTGCTTCCCGCTAGCTGAACTCTCTGGGTTATTTTGTGTGTGCATGTGTGTTTCTCTAACCATCTCTCCTGATCCTCTGGCTGTTTTTCCTTTTTTTCCTCAGTCCTGAGTGTTTTCAGAGCCGTCTTTCTACTCGCTTCTTCAGTTCTTCTCCAGGGCAGGTGTTCAGTTATCTGTGTGTGGTTGAGAAGTTCACAGCTCTAGCTCTGACTCCGGCTTCACTGTCAGTGTGGCATCCTCACTTAAATGTTAGATCGTTATTTTGGCCCCTGTGGCCCTTGAGCCAGTCCAGGTGGTTGTGGTTTCTCCTGTTTCATGAGTCTTTTGGCTACTTTAGTCTCACTACTTCTGCTATTTTTCTCAGCTCTGAGCTTAGCTGTCTGTATGGTACTAATGCTGAAGGGGACCCTTGCAGGTCGGTTGGCTCACAGAGGGGGTTTAGTGTCCCCCTTTTTCTGTTGTTGTTCTGTGTTGTTTACTTTGATCATGGCTTCTTGGAACTGTCTTCTTGGGCTTCTGTTCCATGTCCACCGTCAGTGACTCCATCCCAGGTCTCATCCCTCTAGGCCTAGTGCCGCAGTAACTACCTTTTTGATGCTATTGACATATTTATTGAGGGGCTGATAGGTATTGTCTTTTATCCCAAAGGCAGACTAGTTTTCAGAAAATGTCTTTTTTTGAGACATTTTTTGCTATAGGGTGCGTGCATTTGCTGGAGAAACAATGACAGACAGAAAGTGAGAAATCCCCCCTCCCTGCCAGGGAGAATGACCACACCGCAGTCCCTTCTCCATTCCCCTCTTGGGATTTTGGGCATGCACGCACATGTGCCTGGCATGAGTTTCAAGCTACTGGGTCTGGAGCTTGAACCTTGGTCAATCATGATAATCCAGCACCTTAACCACGATGCTGCCTGCTGACTCCAGAAACTTTTTATATCTTGTTATTTAACTACTCTAGGGTTGACAGTGGCTCTCCATTATTCATTTCAGCAAGGCCCTTCTCTTCTGCCCGAGCTCTTGGTTTTTTTTATTTTTTATTTTTTTTTGCAGTAGGGCACGTGCCCTTACGAGAGAGAGAGAGAGAGAGAGAGAACCAGCCCCCAGCATGGGATGGCCTGGAGTGATTTTCAAGTTGCCAGATTCGGGATTTGAACTGCGCATTTAGCCATTGTGGGATCCAGCACCCTAACCTCCATGCCACTTGCTGACCTTTTGCCTGAGTTTTTGATGAGCTGTTTCAGATACGTGATTTTCTTATCAGTTTGCTCCCCTTTCCTGCCTGATTAAATCTCGCCGTGTCTCCTCCTGAAGCTTCTTGTGCGACTTGGCCCGGCACTGGGCTCCCTTACTCGGACGTGTTCCACATTTGTCGTCAGTCTGACACCAGGTTGCTCGGATTGATCTCGTACATGTTGGCTTTATGCCCCAGCTGCTGTCCTGGAAGGTGTGGACCATGTCTGCTGCTACTTTTGACACTTTCCACCCCTTGTCATTCTGTTCAATAAGTATCTGGTGACTTTCACCAAATCAAATATAAATTATCCAAAGCACACTGTTCAAGCAGGTCATACAGCGTATATATTTTTTAAGAATGATTTTATTTAACTAACTTTCTTTCTTTATTTTAGTTTGACCAGAGAGGTACAGAGTGAGAGAAAGAGGGAGAGAGAGAGAGAGAAAGCAAGTTGCCAGGTCCGGTATTCGAACCGCAGTTGGCCATGTGGGAGTCCAGAGCCCTTAACCTCCACACCACCTGCTGGTCCCTACACAGTGTATTTTAGCATTTTACTTTTCTTGAGTGTCAGCTGAGTGATTTGAAACTTGGTTGCCAGAGGTGTTAATTTGGCCAAGGTGATGGCCACGTCGTACATGGGTCTCTAGCAGGGTTTCACAATGGTGGATGGATGTGATGACCAGCTATTGTGAAGATTGAGGAGGCTGTCGTATATTCGGAGATTTAAGCATTTCACGCAGTGTTTATTAGTCAGGGTTAGGTTTGGCTGGAAACGCAAATTACAGTGACTTAAGAATGAGGTTTATGTCTACAGTGGCTAAGGCAGCTTCTTGGTGTCCTTGAGCGACACAGATAGTTCTCTGCTGTTCTGTCATTCTCAGCACTGGCTTCTATTCTTTTTTCTTTATTCATGGTAGAGTGTGGGTGCAAGAGCCTTTGTTCAGTCAGAATGCGAGGTGGAAGCCCAGTTCGTGTGATAGCTAAGGGGGAATGGCCTTGCCTAGTGAGTGAGTACATGAGGCCTTGCCTCGTGGGCCTCTCTGCCACTTCCCAGCCAGGACTCTTCTGAGCAGTTTGTCAGCCTGTCACCCTCCCTGTTCTGTCAGCTCTTCAGCGACTGTCCTGAGGACACGTAAAAGGGAAAGCACGAGCATTTCCATTTCCAAAGTGGATTATTTTGACTTCAGATTTCTTTTTTTCTGGAGAGGTTTTTGCTATAGGGTGCGTGCGCTCGCCAGAAAGAGAGACAGAGAGATAGAAAGCAAGGAATCACCCCCCGGGGGATGGCCACGCCACAATCCCTTCTCTTCAATTTTCCTTTTGGGATCTTGGGCACGCACGCACATATGCCCAGCGTGAGTTTTAAGCCACCGGGTCTGGGACTTGAACCACGGTTGACTATGTAGGAGTTCAGCAACATAGCCATTACGCTAACTGCTGGTCTCTTGACTTTAGATTTCATTGTAAATTTTCTTAGCAAATTTATATTCCTGGTTGCTCTGCCTAGATTAATTACCTACCATGTCCACCTGTAGGCCCTAGAGGTAGCCAGGGGTAAGCAATTTGGGTATATCCTTATGTGCTCGGTGTTTCCAGTGTAGGGGATTCCAGGTGGGTGCGTGTTTTTTAATACACAAATTTTTTTCTATCATCAAGTGTTTCCGAGTAGATAATTTCACCATCGAGCATGCTCCATAATTTCACCAGGGAGCATGATCCATTCTTTTTCTCTCCTGCAGGTTTAATAGATTACAACTTCCACTGTTTCCGAAAAGCTATCCATGAGGTTTTCGAGGTGGGCGTGACTTCCCACAGGAGCTGCAGCCATCAGACCAGCGCCCCCAGCCTGAAAGCGCTGGCACACAACGGCACGCCACGGAACGCCATCTAGTCCGCATGCAGTGGTTGGGCTCTGCCTGCTTCCTCTTCATTCCAGGGTCAGGTGCCGCATGCTACAGGACATGGGAGCTGCCGCTTGTGGGAGTCTGGTGCCTGCCCCACTAGGGACAAGGGGTCGAGTTTCTCCTTTGGATGGAAGCCCCTTCAACCAGTGGTGTACAACTGAAGCTACTACTTCTTTTTTTTAAAAAAAATGGCAAAAAAGAATTCTAGAGACCACAGAACTCAAGTGTGTCTTTCTCCTCTTTTGGGTCCTTCTTTAAATAGTTGGGATATTTTGGACCTGGAGATAACACCAGTTATCCACTTTACCAGGGAAAATTGCCATCAATTCCAGTCGAAAATAATAGAGAAAACTGAATTTTTATATGCTTCCCTTAGGCTTCCCTTCAATAGTCGCTAAAGCCCTGCCTTGCTTACGTTCTAACACTGCCTCAGACCCGCCTGCGGACGTCGCACATCTGGGACCTTCTGAACGTGCTTGCTGCCACGGAAGACACTAGTCCGGCTGCAGCCAGAGGCACCCCCGTGCGCGTGCCCAAAGGCGAGAGCGAAAGCTTCGGTGCGCCAGGCGGAGAGCAAGGCTCCGTGGTGGCCTGTCGGTTCCCCGGGAAGGCCTGAGGACAGAGCTGGGAACAGAAGGAAGATGTCGCACTGGTCTGGGGACCTCCCGTTAGATAAAATGATCGTGCTCAGTGTAACGAAGGAAATGAGAAGCAAATCTGGGTTTCCCACAGCCCTCTCGGAGGGGAGAGCCTCGTGTCACTGAACTGTGTAGCTCGCCGCCCGCAACCTTGGCCTTGGCCTTGGCCTCTACCTACCTTTTTTCTAAGCCGTGTCGGGTCTTTAAGAACTGCTGTTCGTTGATCACGAATAACCTAAGGCACTGGTGGAACGTCCGCTGGGCGCTGGGGAGAGCACAGAGTGCTTTCACCTCCTCTCTCTCCAGTATTCTGACACCAAGTGTCAACTGTGGTACTTTCTTTGCCTAGGATATTAATTCATAATTGTTCCTTTTTGTCGATGGTTGATACCCTTGCCTTTGATCGAAGCTAATGCATTATTTTTACCCCACGTGCCCAGTGGCCCTATGTCCCAAAGCCGCCGGGCCACTTGAGCACGCCAGTGCCACTGTTGATGAAACGCGTGTTCAGGTCTGCGCCCCTAACCGTGTGACTGAGTGCTTCCTGCCGATGTGCTGCCTGTCGAGTATTTACATGGACCATGGTGATATCCAAAAGAAAAATGCTTTTATATTTATAGATTATTTCATTGAACTATATATAAAATGGGTATCAATAAATGTATTTACTCCAACATCAGTTTTTCTCCTTGCCTGAGGAATGAAATGGTGGGGGATGGGGCACTGGGGGTCCCACTCTCCCGATTTCTCATCCCCTTTCTCTGCTGCTCCCTTCTACGGTTAACGTTCCTTATGCTTCAGGACGTCAAGTTCTGTTCTAATGCAGGATTCCATGGCCTCCACCATCTCACCTGGTCCGTTTCTGCTGCAGGTTTAGAGGCCTAGGTCTGGGTGAAAATGTGTTTTTGGTGGGTGTTTCAGATGGACGGATTCTCTCATGGGGAGTATCCCGGCCCGGCAGGGTCACTGCCTTGTGTCCATGCTAAGTAGGACTCGGGGGGTGTAGTAGAGAGCCAGGAAAACCTGGAAAATCCCTTCCAACCTCTTTGTCTTACAGTTCCTAAGATACTCATCATCGATCCAGAAATGTCCTTTGATTCATTGCTTATCTGTGAATGCTTCCATAGTGAGGTTGCATCAAAACCCGTTAGAGAAAGGTATACGTCCTCAGTGGGGAGGAAGTGGCCCGAGATGGGAAGGACTTTCATAATCGGACAGCTTTAGAAGTTTAGTTGTAAAACTGAAGTGAAAGAGTTTGAAACCGCCTCCCCATCCCCCCCCAAAGAAAACCCCAACTTTCATACTGTCAAATCCTGTATCCTTTTTCAGATTGGAGAAACTGAAGTCCAAAGAGTAAAGAGCCTTGTTGGGGACTGTAGATGGCTCGGTCGCATAGTGGAGACTCCAAACCAGGGTGCTGGTGAAGCGGGAGGGATGCGGGGCGGAATCGCGCCTGGATGGCATGCAGACGCGTGCCGCCCAGCTAAGGCGAGGGGGCAAACCTAGTGCTGGGTTTCATTAGGGGCAAAGTGGGGTGTGTGCTCCGGACCTGGCAGCCCCACACAGCCTCTCTACCTCCAGCCTCAGGCTCCAGTTGGGAATTAAGATGTGTGTGGCACATAGGTGCCCAGTAAATGTTACCTTTGCCTCCATCAAAAGTTATAAATCCAGGGAGTGGCAGGAGATGATGTGAAAAACGGGGAAACAAAGTGAATGTGGAAAGGAGACGGCAGGAAAAAGGAAATGGAAGAAAAACATGAAGGGGCCCCTATGGCCTAGTGGTTAAGGGAACCTGCCACCACACGGTCAGCCGCATAGTTCAGATCCTGGACCTGGCACCTTGGAAACCACATGTGTGTGTGCCCCGAGACCTGACAGGATGGAGGAAGGGAGAAGGGATTGTGGCGTGGCCATGCTCCATTTAGGGGTGCTTTCTCCCTCTCCCTCTCTTCCTGTCTCTGGCAAGCATACATGCCGTCTGGCAAAGGGAAAAAGTAAAACTTGGAAAGAGTTTCCCTGGTGGGCCAGCAGATGGTTTAATAGTTAAGTTGCTGGACTCTCATGTAGTTGACTGTGGTTTGAGTCCTGGACCCAGTGGCTTAAACTCACACTGGGTGTGTGTGCGTGAGTACCTAAGGTTCCGAGAGGAGAATGGAGGAGAGGTGATTGTGGTGTGGCCATCCCCCCAAGGCGGTGATACCTCGCTTTCTGTCGTCTCTCTGTCTGTCTTTCCCACGAGCGCGTGCATCCTATAGTAAAAATTACCTCCTCCCCCCCCAAAAAAAATGTTTTCCTGAATGTTCTGTATCCTGAGGTATCCATACCAGGTTACCTCAGGTCGCTGGACAGATGGTTAAAAGAATTTGCAGCCAAGTGTTTTAGCTGTTTATGTGCCACTACCCTCCCATTTACACACATTCATATATACACAGGTATACATGTGTGCACACAGATGCACCCCCATACACAGGTATACATGTGTGCACACAGATGCACCCCCATGTGAGTTGTATTTATTTGCCTTCTACATTTGCTGTTTGCACTGAGAAACATGGTAGATGAAATCGGATAGTGTGAGCTTTGTTGGGGAAAGTGGATTATTTGTGAACTTTGGTTAAGGCCCTCCATTTGTCCTGTTCTTTTTTGCAAATACTGAAAGTTCTTCCAGTGATTCTAAAAAGATGATTAATGACTTCTTTTCCTCAAAGCTAGTAAAGTAACAAACAGTCCCTAGGGGCCCCGGAGCGAAGTCTCTAAAGGGAATGTGGGCGGCAGTTGGGGAGTGTGTGCTGATAGCTTTTTCCATTAGGAGACTCCGGAAGTAGCCAGCATGCAAGGACGTGAAGGGGTCGCAGCCCCAGCCGACTCCCGGGTGGTTTCTGTGTTACTCGTGCTCTGCACGGTGCCCCGTGAGGCAGGCACTGTTCCTCTTCCACGGACAGGGAACTGGCACACAGCAGCTCTGTGGTGGGGTTGGAAGGTGAACCCGTAGCTTGGTCCCCAGCCTGCATCCTTAAACCACTCAATCTTGCTTCCCTAGCAGGGAGGGAGGGTTTGGAAAAGAATCCTGTAGTTTAACCTGGAGACACGCATTCTAGGCTCTCTTGGGAGATTTGCTATGGACAGTCAATAGTAAAGGCTCTGAGAAGATGACATAACCCTGTTTACCTTGGTCTATAGCCCATGTTCTTAAGTTGATTTGACCCTTTAAGAAATACGTATTCGGGGACCAGCAGGTGGCATGGTGGTTAAAGGTGCCGGCCGGCCATGGTTTGAGTCTCGTACCTGACAGCTTGCTCTCTCCCTTTCCTTTTCTCTCTGGTCAAAATAAAAAACATACTAACAAATGGAATTTTTAAAAAGTATTAAAAAAAGCTTATTCAAGCAGCATGTAATCATACATTCACTGAAAGATACTCTTGGGAAGGGTTTCAGTGGGGTTGGAAGTGCCGGCATGGTTTATAGTTCAGCACCTGTCCTCACTGTAGGTTGTGATGGGGGAAGCATAGTTTATTGCCCTGTCGCATTTCCTCAGATCTCAGTGTTGACGAAAAGCCCTCGGTCGTTTGAACCACCCTCACGCACTTTGTTGCGAAGGCTGGGGTGCCTTGTCGGTCGGGGCAGAAAGCATGAATGGTTTTTCCGAGCTTATCACGCCTTTTGGCTGTGGTGGCCGGTTCCTGGTTTGGCCTCTAGGTGGCGGTGTTGTATTACGTAAACACAGCTTCGGGCGTCTGACTTCCGCGCATTGGCTCTGCTCTGAAAGTGTAAATTGCCTTTATCACCCACGTGTACCTAACTTAGAGAACCAAAGAATTCTTGAAGTTCTGCCCCCCGAAAATACTCAGGACTGATTTGAAACACTTTATCAGAGCGAGGGCAGCTTATGATTTTCGCTTTTTAACAAGAGGTGGAATAGCATGGAGATGTTCATTGTTGGTTCTGTGGATGCGGAGTCAGGAAGACCTTAAGAAAAGTGCTCTGTCCACATCCGTAGGGCAGGGAGAGCATCTTGCTCCCTAAGCCATCTGATGTAGCCGTGTGTGCTTTTGAAGACTTCCATGGAAGGAAATGCCACATATTTGAATTAAAATACCTGCTTTGATCACTTTGCCCAAAGTGAGATTTGTTGAAATTATTTCACATTTGGACTTGAGAGAGAGAATACTACAAAAGAAGTGGCCGCAGGGGGACCAGCAGTTAGCATAATGGCTATGTCGCTGGACTCCCATGTAGTCGACCGTGGTTTGCGTCCCGGACCTGGTGGCTTAAAACTCATGCCGGGCACGTGTGCGTGCGTGCCCAAGATCCCGAGAGGAGAATGGAGGAGAAGGGATTGTGGTGTGGCCATCCCCCCCGGGGCTGATTTCTTGCTTTCTGTCTGTTTCGTTGTGTCTTCCTGGTGAGCACATGTGCCCTATAGCAAAAACCTCTAAAAAAAAAAAGTCTCAGAACAGTTTCCTGCCACAGTCACTTGTGTTCCTTTCTTCAGAGCCACATCATCCAGTCACTCAAGCAGGGACTTCGCTTGGCAAAGAGAAAATGCAGTGTAAGAAGGATTAGCCACATCAGTGCATCTTCGGACCTATTTAAGATAGAATTGAGACAGTCAGCAGGTGGCCTGGTGGTTAAGGTGCTGGACTCCACTGCTGCATGGGTGACCAAGTGCAAGTCTCTGCAGTTTAAAAATCATGCCAGGTGCGTGCATGCGTGCTCGAAATGCTGAGAGGAGGATGGAGGAGAAGAGATTGCAGCGTGGCCGTCTCTTCTGGGAGATGATTTCTCACTTTCCCTCTCTGTCTCTCTAGCAAGCGCATGTGGGAACATGGGAAAAACCTTACACACACACACACAGTTGCAAACAACAGTTAAAATGAGGAACTGAATGGCAGGAAACAACTTCCCCTACTTAAAGAATACCTGATACTACCCATATGTTGCTCTCAAAATGCTGCAACTTCCACATTAAGATGGTTACACCTCAGAAAGCTTCTCTGGAACTGAAATAATCAAATATCAGAAGGCTTGTGGGAGACAATTAATCTGGTTTATTAACACATCACCTGCAGAACAGACAGAAGCTTGAACTATAAAATGGGGTATCAGTCTTTGATAATGTTTTTGCTTTTCTTAAAAGAGGTGCTGGTCGGGAACCAGCAGTTAGTGTAATGGCTATGTCGCTGGATTCCCACATAGTCGACTGTGGTTCGCGTCCCGGACCCGGTGGCTTAAATTTCACGCCGGGCGCATGTGCGTGCATGCCCAAGATCCCGAGAGGAGAATGGAGGAGAAGGGATTGCGGCGTGACCATCCCCTCTGGGGGGGTGTTTTCTTGCTTTCTGTCTCTATGTCTCTCTCTGTCTGTTTGGCGAGCGCACGTGCCCTATAGCGAAAAACCTCCCCCCCCCAAAAAAAAAGAGGTGCTGGTGTACACATGTTCTAGTAAATTGTAAAAATCCTTCCCATGTCCTCTCTCTCTCCAAATTTGCATGCAAACTTTGTGTTCCAAGTACTGAGTCAGCTGAGCAGGGAATGTTAATTCATTTAAACACACCTATCTTATTCTGAAAAGCGGTGCTGGGGTTCTCTGTCCTGGGGCTTTGTCCCGAAAAGGCACCGACTTTACAGCTCTGGAAGATGAACCGAGAGGTAAGCCCTTAGCCTTTCAGCCATC